TTCTGTTCCAGCTCAGCCACTCACACCACTTAATATTCATTGACACATCAAGAAAACATAAATATTAATGCTGAAAGGTCCATGTAAACACTGAATCCTCATTATCAACAGAGGTGTGTACAAACAGTGGCTGCTTATGCGGTGCAGCATACCAGAGAGAATCATGGCGATGAACGTGAATGAAGAATGGGAAAACCCACCTGTCAGACCTCCATATGGGGCAGACCTTACTCTGAATCCAGTCTGTCGCAATATATTAATATTGATATCAGTAACAACTAATGATACTCATAAAGGAATGGTGTACATGTAATGCAAATCAATCATGTAAACAAATACAAAGAGAGAAAATAAATGTTCAGACATGCAGGAGAGAAATGTCAAATGTGATCATCACTCTAGAACAGACTGAAGATTAAATGTTACCCTTAGAGATATCACAACTATGACCTTTAGAGAATGGGAACAAAAAATAACCCTGGAAGACATCAGATTGGTGGAACGTGTCACCTCACACAACCTTCTTCTGAGTAAAGTCACAGTACAAAGGTCAGGGAGACAGAGGACAGCTGTCATTAAAATACAAACAACAACCTATGGTTGAAATGAAAAGTGACACATGTCGGTTTTTCTCAATACTTGAATGAGATGAGGTCCAACGAAGAAAATTCATGAATAAATATTGAGGTGGCACATATGCACACCTATATACATACATATATATAAATATATATGCACACACACACACATATATATCCTTCCACTGTAGAAAAATGAAGCCAAAATGGCCACTGTCATTTTGCACTGGAGATGTCATTTGGAGCCAGAGTCTGTGCAATAGTGATAATGAGGTGAAGCCCCAGTAACAAGGTCCCACCCAAACCCCAGCACTCAATAGCAAGTGCACTATCATGACTAGGGCTGTCGCAGTGAAGGAATTTCCCTTGCGGTAATGTTGAGTGGCTCAATAGCATGGTATGCAGTATTATCGCCATATATATATATATATATATATATAATCTGTGTGTGTATGTGTTACGATATAACAAGCTCATATTCTGAAACCAATGAAACCAAAACCAAATAGCTTTGAAACAGGAAGTGAAGTAAACAGAAGAGAATGATAAAATAACAATCCACATAACAGAACATAGCCCTGACAATAAGATTGTTAGGCTATTGTTAGCCTATATGTATAACAGTTCGTTCTGATCCTCGAATCTGACTGGACAAGAGACTTTCTATTAATATTTCCACCTGCGCGTTCTAGACAGGCTGTCAGTCAGTCTTTAAACCGTTCATTCAACTACAAGCTGATTCATTCAAAGAGAGACGTAATGAAACACGCTGTTGACATCATTTTAACTTTGAGCGCCACGTTAGAAGGCTCAGCTGACCAGCAATGTGTCGATGCTAAGACTTTGAGTTGACGGTGTTTTGGATGACGGTGTCCCCAAGACTTGACTTTGACTTTGACTGAGATTTGGCTTTCCTTGGACATGACAACCTATTTTCACAAATATATATGACTCGCAAGTAATCACACATGCTCAGTTGATCTCTCTTTCATTCGCTGTCTGTTTAGGCTTGTTAAGTGAAAATCTACGAAGCCCCTGAACAAATCAGAATGGTAAACATTATATTATCATTAATAACTTATTTAATATTCAGTACACATGCACGAAGTGTAAAATGAGAAGGGCATAACTCTATGAAAAAAGAAAACACGCAAAAATCGTGGTTGCTGCGGTTCTTGCATTCCTCTGCGGTTTTCTTGTCAATAGCGCGGTATTGCGATATTGCGGTTATCGCGACAGCCCTAATCATGACACCACACCCCATTTTTATGGCATCAAATCACTAACTAAAACCAAACTTATTAGAAAAATGAACACTTGAGCATATATCAGCGTGATAAGAACTGCCAGAAACCACCTTTGGGAAAAATGTATTTGAAGTGTAATCTGATTTGGCTAACACTCATTCGAGTTTATGATCTATGCTGTGCCACCAGGTGTCGTAGAGATCAAAATTACAGAACAACCTACAGTTTCCTAAATTTCAAGGTCAGTGCTTTGTCCTATTTGATTTTGAAGTTATCCTAGTAGGAGTAGAAGACCAGTTTTTAAGCATATTTCATAAATTAAATATATTCTGCAAAGTATAAAATATTAAAGGGGTCATATGATGCTTTTTTAAAGATCATTATTTGGTGTATTTGGTGTAACAGAATATGTTGACATGCTTTAATGTTCAAAAAACACATAATTTTTCAAATACTGTACATTATTGTAGGTCCTCTATGCCCCGCCTCTCTCAAACGCTTCGTTTTCTACAAAGCCCCCTCCTTTGACAAGCGCAGTCTGCTCTGATTGGCCAGCTGACCCAGTGCATTGTGATTGGCCGAACACCGCAAGCACTCGTTGGAAATGTAACGCCCCTTACCATAATCGCGAGCTTCATCTTTCAAAATAAATGTAAAGACAGAGCCCGAAAGGGGAACAGAGTCGCGTGACAGACACAGTGATGAAGCTGGTATGTGTTTGCAGTACACAAGCCACGGTTAAGACAGCTGACTCCACTGTGATGTGACCCTGTCTCTCTCTCTCTCTCTCTCACACACACACGCGTGCACACGTGCACGCACACACACACACACGATGCGCAAAACTCCACATTTGAACAGTCAATAGCAAATACTTAAACTAATAACAAAACAGTAGCTGATTCAGAAGCGCCAGATTGTCATAGCAAAGTCAGAATTACCTCCTCAAAAGAGGGCTGACTTACAAAGATACATAACAGCTACAAGTGTATGCACTACTTGCTTTATGCAAGCACT